CCTTGATAAAACACCCATTTTGAGTAACCGTGGACAAAGGTAGATAGGATCTGACTTAGCAGCCCATGTACCATCCGCTGACTTTTCAGGTCTTCCATTTCATAGCACTCAGTAAATCAGTATCTGTGTGTACCTACACCACAGCATAGGCTGCTATATAAAACTGCTCAAGGGTTTTTAACCCATCTTCTGTATTATTACACAAAAAACAGGCAGAAAAATGCTTCAGACTACTGCAGTAGTGAATGTGCTATCTCAGCAGCAGAAGCAATTGATTTGGAACATTCCGCAAGGCAGAATGTTCTGAATTTTCTGAAACCAGATTAATACCACGGGCACACTGTGACAGAAGTGTTACATTTATGTAACTTTCCCCTAGCACACCATTTTCTACCTCTAAACCCCTTGGCTCCCTTTAAGCTTCTTTGGTGAGGCTGTCTTCTCTCACACTCACCCACAGAAAAGCAAGCAGCTAGTCTATCAGATACTACAGAACCACTACCTTCATTCCACCTCCCACAAGATCTTGAGATTCCTTCTGCCTTAAAGCATAATCCTACTATAACTATCTTATATTTATGGGATAATAATGTCTCAAAGACTCCCAATATGCTTTGCAGCTTGACACATCAAACATTCCTATGGAGTATACAATGCACTCAAGAATTACTATGCACAGTATCACAGGGGAATAGCACAGCTGACCAAATCACCAGAATGGACTATGCCTGCTCTTGAGGCTGCTTCATCTAAAGGACAGGACTAGGGCTCAAGATATCTAGGTCCTGTTTCAAGTCTGCTTTATAGCACTGAAAAAGAAGCTTCACCTCAGTATTGTCTGTCTTGAGCAAGCCTCTCTTCTGATATATTGCCACGTTACAGAAAGCAGTTGAAAGGAATTCCTGCCTCCACCAAGGACTTCCAGATCTACTCTAGACCACACAGGCTGGAAATTGACTGGGAACCTGGACTAGTACCCTTCCTCTCACACACACATAAGACTATAGCAGTTGGAAACTCGGCTTTACACTTCCTCCAAAAATCTGTGGGTGACTACCTTCTCACTCTGCCATGTTGTAACATAGATTCAGAATTAGCTTTACAAGGTAACTGAAACCACACAGCAGTATTACTTCACTCTTTGTCAGGATCGCTCTAAATGGCAACCACACTTGCAAGGAGCTAGGAGTTGAGATTCAGCTTCTTCACCTGGACTCTTCCATTTTCTAGTCTATCCCACACAAACAGATTTGTTGAGGTGACCTGAGAGGATAAAAAGACAGTGCCATAATACAAGCCATTACACCTCTTGTTTATAACCAGAGACCATAACTATTATTTCTACCTCGCTCCACTTTATTTATCAGTCCCAGTATATTTCCTCCATTTAGCTGTTCTTGCCTAGACTTGTAGCTCCAACATTTGTTGCTGAAGACCTACACTCACAACATGCTTGCTTCTTCAGTGTCATTCATTAAGCCCTCTTCCACCCTCCAACAATGGTATTCATGACTAGCTATCGTTGAAAAATATACTATTACCCACAGTTAAGCTCCACCCCAAGACTGCAAAGGCAAATGAAAGTTGCTCTTGCCGTTTATTTCCCAATTTGTGAACCTCTATAAAAGAGGAAACCGGATTGCTCTCTACGTCAAGAATTAATGAATGCTGCACAAGCAACAGATGGGGGTGAGGGAACGCTCATCTAAGCAAACACTTTAATCTCAGACCGGATGAAGGAATTTTAAGACAAGAAACGTGTTACTGACAAACAAAAAATTACTTTAAAAACACATTAGAAATAATCGGCTCAGTGGAGAGCTTACTTCACAGTGCTCCTGCAACAGCTTGTTTTGCAAAACAATGGAACTGTGTTTTTCATTTCCACAATTACTTGTTTTGGTTTATACATATTGATTGCTACACATTCACAGCATTTCAAGTCACTGTTTTTTATAGCAGTTAGCTTTCACATTGGCTCTGACAGGAAGCATACCTTTCAGTGTGTACTGTTACGCCAGAATTTTTGCTCCGATCAATAACACCAATGATCTCCAGTCCTCGAGCAGCTAGCACTGGGTAATCAACACTTTGCTATAATCACTACAGCGTGCAATACTGTCATGTTTCAGGCACCGAGTTTACTCTTGTAAACTCATGCTGAGTATTCAGAACCTAGAATATTTGCTCTGCGTGGAAATTAGTTTAAAGCAGAGGCCTACCAAAAAAGCAAACAAAATAACCCAGAGGCTAACAGCCCATTAACTTGGCTGCAGAGAAACTTCTGCGGGACAGAAACTGATATAAGCTTCATCTTACACCCCTCATCCAGGCAACTGAGCCCTGTCAGGAAACCATTCAGATGTGGACCTTTGGACTAGGCTCCGAGTCAGTGAGTCTTTTGGGTCAACAGGTTTTGGAAGCCCTGGGATACCAAGCAAATTTCTGAGCACAGGAAAAGAAATTCAAAGGCAAATAACAAAATGCACAAGAAAAAAGAAAAAAGAAAAAAGAAAAAAGAAAAAAGAAAAAAGAAAAAAGAAAAAAGAAAAAAGAAAAAAGAAAAAAGAAAAAAGAAAAAAGAAAAAAGAACTCATTACAATTAAAGTGAACTGTCATCATGTACTACTCCGAGTCACTAAGTTTTGGCAATGCAAGGATCTGGGCTGTATTAGCAATGTTCTCCCTTGCCAATTTATGAGTAGTAACACTATAGCCCATTGCACCTGCATCTGAGCAAGCACCTGCAAACTGTTGCACTCAGTGGTAAATGTGTTCAATGCAGTATTTCAGCCCTTTCAGCTGCTGGGGTTCTTCATACAGACAGATTACGGCGAGATGGATTGAACCCACACAGGCCAAAGACTACATGTTGGTTTTTGTATTAGAGGGGAAAGCTTTGCTCCAAACCATTATTGTTGCTTCAAGCCAGCTGCTGCATGCAGCTTTACAGAGAAGTTCCCCTTATCTCTAGGGTAGCGCAGCAGAAGTCCATGCAAAAAGGAGGAAGCAACACCTCCGTATGTTCAGATGAGCTACAAGACACGCTTAAGTCCAAAGACATCCAGAACAGCCAGCAATAATGAAGCTTTTAGCAATAAAATGCAAAATGGCTCAGAATTATGACGCATCCCACATACATGGAATGTGCATGTGCCCCCTCCCCCTCCTCTTAAGTCCAGTTATCGTAGCCAGGAAACAGCTAAATATTTAGCCTGTTGGACTAGTTACCAAGACCCTCAAAAATATCCACCCGCCATTGCCCAGCTTTTGACCATTTAAGAATAAGAGCATCTATAGCCAAGTCTACATCAACACCGGCGAGTGTTTACATAACATGAAACATCTCCGCGTAACGGCGTGTCAAGCAGGGAGGAAAAAAGCAGAGAAAGTTGGAGCTGACACGCTGCTCCTCAACTACCGCCGCAGAGGCCGAAGTCACCCCGGATGCCAGGGGCACCTCCGGCCGCCTGCGCCCCCCGGCGCGCTTCTGAAGCGGCCCGGACAGGCTGAGGATGCAGCAGGCACCTCTCCAGCTGAGTGGTGCCGGCTATCAACAGGCGCTTCAGAAAGCGGCCTGCTCCCCGAAGGGCT